CCTATGCAGCTGCTCTGCAGAAAAGGGCATTACTGGAAATGATGTGATCAGAAGAGTTGGCATGCCAGCAGCAGTGATGGGGTCCTCCTGTTCCACATAGCTACTGCTATTAAAAGAACACCTCCTACTGGCATTTCACTTGCTCATGAATCAGGCCCCAGTGAAGCAACAGATGTTCCTCCTATCCTGCACGTTTCACACAGCAACAGAGTAAGGGGGAGACCATCTCCACTCAAAATAATTCCCAAACATACCCAGAACTAGCAGGTAGCCTGGCTTTCTGCTGTTCTTCTTTTTCCAGTTGGCTGTTCATGGGAAGTTTCCTGGAGCTGAATCATAGACACTACTGGTCAGATTTTATTGGCACAAATGGTCATAGAATTCAGACTTCAAAACCTTTTGTAGGTAAATTTCCATCTATAAATATAATCTGAGAGTTTCCATTCTGCTACCTCAGCTGAGGGATATTTACTGTTTCATGAGGGACCCTTCATCGTCCTCATCACCATGCCTTGTAATTCCACATCAAATGGAAAGAGCACCTTTGCATTCGGTAACCTTTGACATCTAGAATATGCATATCAGATTATCAGGGATGCCTTGTTTTCTTAGTCATTCTCCATGCCTAGAGGTACTAGTATATTTACAGACCAATTGTGATGTCAGACGTATGGATCACTTGATCTGCTGTGTCCATTGTAGGAGCCGCTACCCCCAATGTCCCTGACCAAAACATGTTAACCAAAACCACAACCATCTATCAAAATTCATACTTCTCTAAACTTTTCAATACCATTATCCAACCCAACAGTGTTTTCAAGGAAGCACAAATTAGGCAGAGATGTGCACAAAAATGATTATATCAATGAAGACAGCATCCAAAAATGCATTGTATTATGGGGAAATGCTTGCAAAAAAAAATGTACATTACTCAAAATTGAATGCAAACATGTGTTTATTTACTGAAATTCACACTAAGATGCCAACAAATTTGCAAGGGTTGTTTTTTTTTTAAAAGTGTGAATTGCTGCAGAATTTGGAGTACTGAATTTGAAACTGAGGAAAAAAGAGAAACAGAAAGAACCAAAATGGACAGTTCTATTCATTCCTAGCTGGGCAACTCTGAACCTGTTTGGACTGCAAGATCTGAAGTTATAAAACCTTTGTGAGAGCTAGGATTCTATCTGTCCTGAGATTTGTGCAAAGCTGCAGACAGAAGACTAATTCTAGCAGTATTTCTTCCTAAGTCCCAGATATATCAGCCTCTCAGAAAAAGGCACTCAAATTAATTAATGTTATGTTATAACATTGTTAAAAAAATAGCTAAAGACTTGTCATGGGGGTGGAATTTGATTTCAGATTGTATTCGGCAGCATAAGGAGCATTTAGTAAATTATATATATTGTATAAGACATAATATCTTCCCCGAGAAGTGAGATTACTGTGATACAAGGCATTGTAAAAGGACATAAAAGTATTTCTTTTACCTGCCTCTGTTAATTCATTTTAAAATATTGGCCAAAAGTTTGTTTGATGAAGTATGGTTGGGCACACACAATTGGGCACAATAAGAAGATGGTTCTTATTAGATGTAAAGATACACTGAAGACCAGCATCAAAACCTGCAAGATAATATTAAAACCCCAGCACTCACTGCATTATATAAGCTTATCTGGAGAGATCAGTGTCAGGATTCATATGTGTTCTGTTCAAGCAGTGATGCATGTAGACTTTATAGAAAATGAGAGGATATACAATGCCAGTACTTTGTACTATTAGGTTCATAGGAAATTAGTGCTTGTATAAGGCTAGCACTGCATACCCTGGCCTAATACCCTAAACTAATGCACTGTATGTTATGCAAATGTGTCTGATGAACAAATATTGGACTTCTATATCACCAGGAGCCTTGTACCCGGCATTGCTCAGAATTCTAAGAAACCAAAACACACACACACCAAAACACCCGGTGCAGTTTTGATATCAGTGGTTGAAATCAGTGCATTTTTCAAAAGGTTCAGTTCACCCTCTTGATTTAAAATGGGGGTAGCGTCCAATTGTATTCCAAACATAGATGAGAACCTACTCCTGAATCCCAGGATCCATCCGGCCAAATTTGGTTACACTATCATAAGAGGTGTCCAAATGCACAGTAAGTAGATGATAGGAGCCATAAAAAATTAACTCTTAAGGCAGGGGTGCCTAATCCAGTCCCTAAGGAGATGCTCCTCCTCCAGCAAGAACGTACCAATTTTGGCAGCGGCGGCAAAAAGGGACGGCACTGAGGTAGCCAGAGCCCAGCACAAAAATGGGAATGCAAATCACTTCTCCCCAGTTATCAGATCAATCATTGGATGAGTGAAGAGGGAACAATAACCACCCCCTTAGCTGGTCTACAGAGATCAAGTGAGGAGGGAAGCTGTGTAGCTGTGTGTGTCCTTTGTGTGTGTGTGACAGCATAAGATAGCCACACCCACTTGTGGCCACACCCACTGCTGGCATCCCCCCCACCCCCACCACCAAGGGTTGGCCAAGGGTGAATCTGGCCCTCAGATCAAAAAGGTTTTGCCACCTCTGTGTTAAAGCTAATAAGAGTTGCATACCAATCCATCATAGCATTGATGGTGCTTTGTGGGAGAGGGGAGTATTCTTACCTTTTAAAAAAATAAACCCTTAGATACTGATTTCCACGTTTCTTTTAAAATATATCTATGATGCATGTAGGCTTATTGGCTGACGCCATGAATTCACATGTGGCTCTTTGGGGAAGAGGAATTCAAAGCACAATAGCCCTCCAATAATTCAGAGTGCCTGTGTATAGTTATCAGTATCGACAGAGCCCATAAGTTTCAATAACATCTAGGCTGGCATAACTGTGATAACCACAAAAGTCTATTCATATTCTCTTTTGTTAGGTGTAACTTTTGGCTGTTTATATCACTTTTGACTTTTTTTTTTGTATTGACTTGCTGTTACATTATTTATCTTGCTCCTGGCATCTTATTTAACCATTGATTAGCTAATGTACCTTGTGTTTGAAGTCAGACAGGTGAGAGTCTGAAACGTAGCCAGCAGTGGTGGCTTTGAAATAAAGACACTCACCAGCAAGCAGCTCCTGAAAGACATTAAATATTTTACAACACAGTTGTTACTAACCAGCCACTGGTCTTCTCCAACCCTCAGAAGGAGCATAGAAGAGAACTCCATGGAATTGTAGCCTCATTCAGGCATCCGGGTTAATTCCTGATTGGCAGATGCTGTGATATAAACATTACTTTAATAATAATAATAATAATAATAATAATAATAATAATAATAATAATAAAAATTACTCTGGGTGGCTTCCAACAAAATATTAAAATACAATAGTCTATTAAACATTAAAAGCTTCCCTAAACAGGGCTACCTTCAGATGTCTTCTAATACAGTATGAGTACAGTTATCTAACCACTTTGTATCTTGTTCTGTACTGTGGAAAATCTACCACCGATAACCTTGGAAGCCTCCACAGATTTTTTCACAATCCAGAATATTGACAAGGGATGGTTTTCAGTGCAGACATAGAGTGCAATATCCAAACGCTGATACAAATATAGGACATGCTCGTTGAAAGTTAACATGAACATTAGATTTAAAAATATATACCGTCCTCCTAACATGGAATCAGGTAGTCTGGAAACTTTACTTTTTTTTCTTTTCTTTTTTAAGGCCAGTGTGGTGTGGTGGCCAAAGTCTTGGATATTGGTGAGTTCAAACCCTCACTTAGGCCTGAAACACAGTGGGCAGACCCTCCAAGTCTCCCTATTTTCCAGGAATGTCCCTGATTTAGAGAAACCATCCAGGTTGATCCCGGAATGTCCCACTTTTCCTTAGGATGTCCCAGTTGGAGAAATGTTGGATGGTATGGCATTATCTGACCCCTGAGCCATCTGAAGGCAGCCCTGTATAGGGATTTTTTATGTTTAAGTTTTGTTATTTTTTATACATGTTGGAAGCCGCCCAGAGTGGGTGGGGCAGCCCGGTCAGATGGGTGGAGTATAAATAGTAAAATAATAATAATAATAATAATAATAATAATAGAATAGATCAAACCTATCCATTCTTAAGGAAATCAGCCCTGAGTGCTCATTGGAAGACAGATCTTGAAGCTGAGGCTCCAATACTTTGGCCACCTCATGAGAAGAGAAGACTCCCTGGAAAAGACCCTGATGTTGGGAAAGATGGAGGGCACAAGGAGAAGGGGACTACAGAGGACGAGATGGCTGAACAGTGTTCTCGAAGCTACCAGCATGAGTTTGACCAAACTGCGGGAGGCAGTGGAAGACAGGAGTGCCTGGCGTGCTCTCGTCCATGGGGTCACGAAGAGTTGGACACGACTAAACGACTAAAAAACAACAACAATTTTCATCAGAGAAATGTTGGAGGGTATAAATGGGTGATCTCTCGTAGCCTAGCCAACCTCAAGGTTGGATGAGGGCAAATACTTGTTCTCTGCAGTCCCAGAGGGCAGGACTAGGTTTAATACACTGAAGTTGCGTGAGAATAGATTTTGGTTAAACTTTAGTAGAAACTTAATATTTAGAGCTGAGGACTGTAAGCATAGGCTGGACATCAATCTGTTGGAACTGCTGTAGCTCTGGATTGCCTGTTCCAAGCCGGGAGTTAGATCAGATGGGCTACATAGCCCCTTCCACGCTATCTGATATTTCTGGAAAACCCATGAAGGCAACAGCTCCCTTTCTCTCTGTCACACCTCATAATTAAGTCTCCTACTGCCTGTGAACATGGATGTTCCATACACCGTGACTAACAGCCATTGATAGCCTTTCCACCCATGAATGTGTTTAATGAAAGGTATGGTGACAGCCACCTCAGATAGCGGCTGTCACCATACCACGGAGCAGCGAATTCAAAAAAAATAATTAATTCTGCATTGTGCCAAATACTGATTGCTTTTTTGTGTTCTGATTTTTATTAATAAAAAAAAATTGTCCAGTAGCACCTTAGTGACCAACTAAGTTTATTCTGGGTATAAGCTTACGTGTGAAATAGTGTTTCAGTGTATCTGAAGAAGTGTGTATACACACAAAAGCTTATGCCCAGAACAAACTTAGTTGGTCTCTAAGGTGCTACTGGACAATTTTTAAATCTATTTTAACTGTGTCAGACCAAGACGGCTACCTGCCTGAATCTGATTTTCATTGTCAATCTGTTTCATTTTTAGCTGATTATCACATATGCTTTTTTTTGGGGGGGAGGAATTCCCAAGAGCAGGTAAAGTGGACCTTAGTTCCCAAAAGAAATAACTCAGCAATGTCATGCATTTGAGATGCTTATATAGCTGAATCCGAGAGAGCTGCAGTATGCGTGTGTTCATTTTGTATTGTAATATGGATGCATAGCACCCTCTACTTTCTTTTGATCAAATAACACACCAAGGCTTGAGGCGAAGAAGAAGAAAGGAGGGGGGGGGACCTGAATGCTGTTTCTCTGCAGATTTTTTTCACAGAAGCCAGAAGAAAGAATTTGTCTATAGGGTTCATTAACAGTTGGCCTCTGCTGGCAGTAACCCATGTTATATAGGCCACCATTGTGACATCCTCAAAAGAACTCCCTGGAGGAGGCAAAGTCTAGAAGGGGAATATCTACTCTGAAGTTTCCCACCTTCCCTGAACTATATCTGCAGAGCCACCCCAGGAGGGGAGAATGGAGCTTTGAAAAATAACACCTTTGTTATTCCAAGTGTTAGAGATGAAGCAGAGTTTTCAGATGGCCCCAAGGTTTTTCCCCCCGTTTTTTTTTTCCTTTTTGCACCCTTCACCAAACACAGATGGAAACTGGACTCTTTGAACTGCTTTGAAAATCTGTTACCATGCATTGCTGTGGGGCCTGTGAAGCAGCCATTGCTAACTTCTGTCTGCCTGCAATTTTTATGGCTATGTGATGACAAGGGATTAAATAGCTCATTTTAGACACAGACAGCTCTAAATGGGAGGGTGGGGGTAACAAAAACCAAACAATAATAAAAAAAAACACCCAAGGCTGCATATTTACTGGGGAGCAAGTCTCAGTGAATCTGGTCGCATTTACTGCCAAGTAAATACATAAAAGATTGTTCTGCAGAATTCTTAATAACTCCAAGCTCAAGGCAAAGCAGTAAAAGATGCCAAAGTAATGCCTCAATTAATTCAATTAATTTCTAAATAATAATGATCTGGATAGTGTTAGGAAAGCTGTGTTCCATCACACACAGAGACAGAGAGAGAAAGAGAGAGAGAGAGAGAGAGAGAGAGAGAGAGAGAAGAAGAAGAAGAAGAAGAAGAAGAAGAAGGAGGAGGAGGAGGAGGAGGAGGAGGAGGAGGAGGAGGAGGACAGGTGATCTTAGCTTGCTACTGAATTTTTGCTATCCTTTATGCCATCTTTTTGTTTCCATTTTAAATTAGGTATATACCGGTAGATCTTTTTGGCACAGTCTCTTGAGGGATCAGTGTAAGGGACTTACCACCAGGCATTTAAACACTCTTCCAGATTCTCATGGCAGGGAATTTGTGCTTGATCTGATCCAGCATCAGCAATGGGATAGGACAACCAATCATTGCATAAGAAGTAGTGTTGCAGTTGGAGGGATAGGTGGACTGTTGGAGGGATAGGTGGACTGTGCCGTCCTGATTTGCATCAGAGAACAAAGTGCTGCATCATCCAGCTGGATGGGGCAACACAAACAAGAGCAGAAGACGGAAGGGTAATAGCTCAGTGGTAGAGCCTCTGTTTTGCATGCAGAAGGTCCCTGGTTCAATCTTCAGCATCTCCAGGTAGGCCTGGGAGAGGTGCCTCTCTGAAATGCTGGATAGCCACTGCCAATCACTATAGACCAGTGTTCTTCTTCCTTAGGTTGCCCAGATGTTGTTGAACTACAATTTCCATCATCCCCAACCAGCTTAGCTAATAGTCAGAGTCACACCAACATCTGGGGACCTAAGGTTGAAGAACACTGCTGTAGACAATATATGGCAGCTTCCTATGTTTCTAAAGTATTATGAAATGGCAGGACCATCTTGTATGGAAATTCCTCCTTTGGCTGGCATTCACCAGCTTTTGGAAGGATTCAGTGGCCTAGATGAGCTCTCTGCCCTAGCATTGGTGTGGTCATTCATCATCTTTTCTGCATTGTCCCATCAAGTTTCATCCTGCATACCATCTAGATCAACGCACGTTCATGTAGTTTTTGGTTTATTCCTGTCATATGCCAGTCACCTTGTTTCACTCTTAGGGTTCCATGAAAGAGATTTGGTTGTGCTCAGCTTTATGGATCTAGCAAGTGGAATGTGTACCTACCTACCACAAATACCTGACAATCTGGGCATATTGTCCTCCCTGTCAGAGCCATACATCAGTGGAACAGATTGGAATTCCTTTCCTTGATGGTCTTCAGTGAAAGCTTAGAGGAATGCATCAATAGATTTTGTGATGGAAGTGCAACATCTGCTGCTGGGGAAATTGTACTGCTTTAAAAGAAGGAAACTATGCAGCCTGATAGGGATCCTCAGGACTGAAAAGTGGAAAATGGAATGGCAAGATGTTCTAGGAGGCACTGTGAAGTTTAGTGGCAGGATGGCTAAAGGGAGGTGGCACAACCCTATACATATACTTCCTAGATGCAGTGTATGGAGCGGCCCTCAGTGTGTTATGATAAAGTTGTCAGACATTCCTGTGAAGAATTATAATGCAAAGAACATAATGTGCCAACTTGATGCACATATAAAATTTGCTTTTCTGCAACCATCTTTAATTTATGGTAGATTTGTACCTGTCAAAACCAGAGTTATAATAAATTGTCTGATGCTCTGAGTGCTTAAAATATGCCACTGCATCAAGCAAAACATTTCTGTCTGAGATAGGGATGGAGGAAAAAATTGATTCAGTTTTCATTTAAAGGTGAACCTACCTAAACCACATTTTCCAAAGCAGTACACAAACTGAAACAAAGCCATGCTTTCCAAATTGACTTCTCAGAATTTTGCAATACCAATCCCTACCCAAGCAATGTGAGCAAAAATGGAGACACACACACACACACATATATGAATGAGAGATAACATACACAAATGTGTTATGCTTGGGAAAATTGCATTGCAAAAATATGTAAATTAAGCACCCAGTGACCTTCTATGGCTGACTGGCATTTGAAGCCTGGTCTCTCAGGTCTTAGTCCAACACTTTAACCACTACTCCATATTTTCTCTTTGCTGTTTCAAGGGGAGAAAGAGACTGATCTCTACATGTTCCTGTTCATCAAAGCACATAATTAATTTATTAGATATTATATAGAGATCTAACAGAATGCTGGCTTTTCCTTAGAAGCCATTCCACTAGAGGGGGTAAGTGGAAATGTGTAGAACTGAACTTATGGTTGGAAAATTGAGAATCCGACAAGTTTGTCCATTCTAAGTCTAAGGTCACCTATGTTGGCAATATCTGTTTCTACTTAAAGCTGCAATACATAGGAAAGTGGACATTTGCCAGCTACATATCCAACAGGCACCTCCAGTTTCTCAGCTCCTTACAATCAATTACTATCCTAAGGAACATTTTCCCCCTTTGATGTTAACACACACACAGTAAAGCTGACTAAGATATAGAAAGTAAATGGCAACATCACTTATCATTACTTTTTCTCTCTTTTTACACTACTGTGGTACCTCAGGTTACAGACGCTTCAGGTTACAGACTCCGCTAACCCAGAAATAGTACCTCGGGTTAAGAACTTTGCTTCAGGATGAGAACAGAAATTGCGCGGCGGCAGCGGGAGGCCCCATTAGCTAAAGTGGTACCTCAGGTTAAGAACAGTTTCAGGTTAAGAATGGACTTCCAGAATGAATTAAGTTCTTAACCCGAGGTACCACTGTAGTAATAAAAGAAAGACCTGGTGATATATCTTTTATTAGGCAATGTCATCCAATCTAGCTTTAGACAAATAGACTAGGAAAGTTTTCAAATCATGAATTACAGAGAGGAAGACTGGCAAAATTCTAGGGTTGCACATATTTTGTTGTTGTTTAGTCGTTTAGTCGTGTCTGACTCTTCATGACCCCATGGACCAGAGCATGCCAGGCACTCCTGTCTTCCACTGCCTCCTGCAGTTTGGTCAAACTCATGCTGGTAGCTTCAAGAACACTATCCAACCATCTCGTCCTCTGTCATCCCCTTCTCCTTGTGCCCTCCATCTTTCCCAACATCAGAGTCTTTTCCAGGGAGTCTTCTCTTCTCATGAGGTGGCCAAAGTATTGGAGCCTCAGCTTCGGGGCCTGTCCTTCCAGTGAGCACTCAGGGCTGATTTCCTTCAGAATGGATAGGTTTGATCTTCTTGCAGTCCATGGGACACTCAAAAGTCTCCTCCAGCACCATAATTTAAAAGCATCAATTCTTCGGCGATCAGCCTTCTTTATGGTCCAGCTCTCACTTCCATACTTCACTACTGGGAAGACCATAGATTTAACTATACAGACCTTTGTCGGCAAGGTGATGTCTCTGCTTTAGCTTCAGGTAAAGCCAAAATGACATTTAAAGTGGCTTACAGTGAAAATAACATCAAGAACAATAGTATATTCCAAATATTGCTCTTCACTGTATCCCCAGCAAAGCAGTTTCTGGGACTCAAATTCCCCTTAAGGATCACCCAAAGTGTTACTTTCTCTTTGGCATCTCCCTGAACAGAACCATTTTCCAGGTCTCTGCTCTTCTTATCTGTGACTCTTTCAGGCTGCTCTGGACAACAGTCTCTATGATAGTTCTAAATGCCGGTTGATCACCCCATAACCTTCTGAGGCTCCTTGAGAGTGTAACAAACATAGAGACAGAGGTGAACCAGGTCACATTGGATTCTTAGACTTTCAAAACGTTTCAGCTAACGTACCACACCAAAGATCTTATGGATCTGGAATGTGACCATCTGTCTATCAGCTGGTCTTTGCCACCAGAAGGAGACTCCAGCAAGGCCTCTCTTTTTTGCCAGCCCGACAAGCTTCTTGTGGTATGAGAAGAAGAGCAAGGGTGGGATCCTTTAATTAATGCCTTTAATTTCTCTCTCTTGATATCCTGAATTTGATGCATCACAGACCTTAAAGGCAG